TCGCTCTTGCTGTTCCTGAGAAGAGGCTTCCAGGCCCCCTGCCTCCCTGCAGGTCATGAGAGCACCTTGCAGGCCCTGGGCTCTCGGCACCCCTGGTCCAGAGCCACCTGCAGACCTATGGCTGCTGCTGGAATGCCACCCCTTTCCATTCAACCGGACAAGGACTCCTGTGATTGTGACGGGCGGCAGGCACAAAGGCCCCTTCACGAGCACGTGATGGGGGTCCCGCAGCCCCACCCCGAGGACGCAGGTCTGCAGGAGTCCCTGAGCTCATCCTTTGAGGCTTGGTTCTCAGGACACAGATGAGGAAATCGAGGCTTCCACGTGCAGTAAGCTGCCTCCTCTTAGACACTGCCCACTTTACACACATCCCTACGCTTCCTCCTTCCTCAACCCGAAGGAGGGTCACAGCTTCCCACTTTGCAGATGAGAAAACAGAAGTCCCAGAACTTGAGCAGGGTCCAGGCCTCCGATGCTTTCTGCCAGTGGGGAGAACAAGCAGAGCGTAGGAAACCCCCACGAGTGCAAACCACAGACCACGAGCAGCGGAGCATTTCCCTGCTAATCCTGCGGCTCCAGGATCAACATAAAAACCAAGTCTGTGTCCTAGGAACTCAGAGGCCAGGCCCTGGGTGAGGGGTCTGGAGGGGCCGCGACAGCAGAGGGAAGCTGTCTGGCAGGGAAGCGAGGGAATGAAAACAGAAGTGAGGGGACCCGGTGCGTGGAAGCTGGCACTTTCCCATCCACAGATCTCCGGAGCCGTGAACTTCAGGCAAGGAAAGAGGACAGCAAGACTGAGGTTCTGGGTCTGGCCTGAGAAGGGGAGCCACACCTTAGCTACACAGGCCCCGCCCTGCCTGGGTCCATCTGCAGGTCATTGGAGCCCTGCCCAGGATTAAGCTCCGAGTGGCCTTCCACGGCTGGAAGGGGGCCTCCTATGGGGGGGGGGGGGGGCTCAGACTGTCCTGGCCCAGAGGGGTGGTAGGCCCAGGCTCTGACACCCAAGGCTGAGAGAGATCCCCTGGACTGATCCAGCCACTCCTCTCTGCCCCAGCCAGCCCACAGGACTGGGAGCTAGTCACCACACCTCTCCAGACCTCAGTTTCTCCATCTGCAATATGGGAACCACTTGGGAGCTCTGAACACAATGGAGCTGGGACTGGGACGCTCTGTGGTAGGTATAAACTGTGAGGCTCAGGGCACATGCCCTGGGTTACCGGCCAATGAGCTCCTGGCCCTGCGGGCCCGGTACCCAAGGCCAGTGACAGGTGGTGGGGTCAGGATGGGGAGGGAGGGGGAAAGGCTTATTCAACCCCGCCTCCTTGTCTTCACTGACCTCTGCCCCCAGGCCTGGCCAGGTTGAGGAAAAGCTGCCCATTAGCGTCCTGCCCCAGGGCTGCTGAGTTGGGATCCCCACATAAAAGACCTATTCAAGGCCAGAGGCTCTGTCTTTTTTTTAAAGACCCAGACCACCCTCACTCTATCCTCCCTTTAAACCAACAAAAAAACACAAGCAGGAGAACAAACCCATCTTATTTTGAGAAGCTCAAACTTTTCATGCAAACTTTTAAAGGTATAAATGGGGCCTGTACAAAGGGCTGCTGGAGGCCCTCGTTCCTGCGGTTAGCGAAAAGGGGAGTGGGCCATGTGATGTGATGGGAGGAGTGGGCCAGAGGTGAATGGGCACACGGTGGCGGGAGGGAGGAAAAAGGTGGGACGCGCAGGATGGGGAGGGGGAAGGAAGAACTGTTAAAAATAACTTTTGTTTGAAAATTGCATGAGTTCAAAGTGCAGACCTGACTGTCTGATGTGTGGGGTTCGCCTGTCCCAGTCTGCCCCCCGATTAAATTAGAGCAAAGAGCATCCCAATCCAGACTTTAATCAGCTCAGCCCAGACCTCTATCAAAGAAAAAGAAAAAGAAAAAAAGACCAAGAAAAAGGCTTATTTGAATTCCCATTCACAGGCCAGTCAGGCCCAGGCCCAGCCAGGGAGGACCTGAAATACAGATGGGCCGCCACCCACCACAGCCTCTTACAGCCCCAAGGGCACCCAGCAGGGCTGCAGGCACCCTGCAGCTTCCAGACATGACCAGGGCCACTGCGCCCCAGGAGGTGCAACCAGACACCAGCTCAGCCGCAAGCATTCGGGAGAGCTGTCTGTCTAAACAGCAAACAGAGTTTCAAAGAGAACGGCCGATGTCTATTTGGCAAACCCCCAACAGGTCCCTCTCTTTCTCCTGAGGATCCTTGGGAGAAACACGCATGACAAGGCCCTGACAACTGTTGAGGCCCACTGTCTGCAGGGATAGAGGAGGACCCACTCTACAGAAGAGGAGCAAAGAGAGGCTCGTGAAAGTGAAGTCCCAGGCCGGAGGGAAGAGGGAAGAGATTCGAACAGGAGATTGTCTGAGCCCTCCAGGCACGGGGGTTATCAACCATCTGCTCAGGGGTCACCGATAAGGAAGTGACATTTGCTGGGGCAGGAGAAGCAGGGCAAACGTGGGCCGGAATCAAGAACGGGGAGTCAGCAGTGTCTGTTGATGAATATTATCGACCAAAATGACCACAGGCCAGAGACGTGAGCCAACCCCGTGGCCGGAGCAGTACATGACCTCCGCAGCACCACCCAGGCAACTGACAACTGACACTGCAATCTTAGTTGCCTTCCCAGGAATTGCTCAGAACCTCTCTGAGCCTCTAGTTGCTTGACTGTAAAATGGGGATAATACTGCCTCGCGGGGTTCCTGTGAGGGTAAGCTGAGAGGGCAAAGAATCTGAGGCACCACTCTGGTATCCGATTCCACTTTCACCACCATCCAGACTGGGGCCTGTTATCTGCCTCATCTCCAGCTTGCTCTCCACCCAAAACTACAGGTCCAAGGGCAGAAGAGTGGCTTTGAAGAGAAGGGCCTTCCCTTGTCTCCAGACATCCCACTCATACAGTTGGGAGACCATCTCAAGGCCATGCTCAACTATGAGACGAAACTAAATTGACAGCAATCCCACTGATGACTGAAGCTTGTGATCATGACGCTGAGTGCTTATTTCACCCCGACACAAAGCTGCGCCCCCACAGACTCTGTGGCAGTCCTGTGTGCCCGGGTCCTGGGGGAGCGTGGACTCTACAGGGAAAACGACAGCTCCAACCCTCGCTGCCCCTCAGCGGGCTGGGAAACCTCAGGTGGGATCCAGTCCTCCACACCTGCTCTGCTCACAGCAGCAGCAAACGAAGACAGGGTCCGCGTCTCCTTGTCCAAAATAATGCCAGAACTTCTCTGCCAATATGCCCTGACACTTTAGTGCCCTGCAGAGAAACACCCTCGCCAAGTGTCACTGATGACGCAGCTGAAAACCAGAAACATTTCGCTTCCTAGCCACAGACTGCCGCAGTCCTCCGCTTCCTACAGCACTTGGGGAAACCGAGGCCCAGATATCTGACCCTCCCAAGGCCCACCCCTCCACCCCTGCCCCAGAAAACAAGACCAGAGAGGCTGAGACTGGGACTCCTCATTCCCCAAATGGTGCAAACCACCTAACTCGGAGCTACTCCCACTGGCCTTACGGAGCTTGCTGGTGGGAGGTGGGGTGGATAGAGTCACTGGAGAGAAACCCAAGTTGTAGCCTTAGATTGCTAATCAGTAATGAAATATCCCTCTACACCTAGCCCTGCCCCAACTCACAGGCTAGGAAGGTAAATAAAACCTGCACTGGGCTAGGGCCCCACCTCCCCCGGGTCCAGTTCCCACCCCAGCCCCCACCCAGAGGCACCTGCAGAGGCCACTTGGCCACCAAAGCAGAGAGCACGCCCCGTCCCCACCCGGCTCCCAGGCTGTCGCTTAAGGGAAGAACAGTCATTTAAGGCCTCCATACATTTTCTCTGAACTAGGAAAGCCTTTAAAGAGAACCAGAAAGGGCTGTTTAATCTCCACCTTCAGGCAAATAGTTCAGGCAGCAGGAACAGCCACCAGAAGCAGGAGCCAAGCCACCAAAAATGTGGAAAGACAGGGAAGAGGGAGAGGAGTGAGGCAGGGGGGACAGCCACTGATCAGCGAGCTGGGGACGGGGAGGGCGACCAGCTGCCCGGCTCCGACAGAGCCCTCTGCCCGGGGGCCCAGCAGTCAAGCGGGCTGGAATACAGTAGCTGGGCTTTCCCGCGGCCAAAGGTCCTCCCACCCACACCCCAGCAGCTGCTGCCAACCTCCGCACTTCCTGTAAGGTGAGCAGTAATTTACAGACCCCTTCAGAGGCTTTTATCTCTGCCTCAAATCCGGGAGGTAGGGATTACCGGCTCCATTCTACAGATAAGGAAACTGAGGCCCGAGGAGATAGAATGCCAGGATCCAGTCCAAGCCTATATTCCTCTGGGAAATATTAAGAGCCTCAGTTGACGAAAGCTCCCCCGGGGCGGGGGGCGCTGAGAAAGGCAAGAGTAATAGCAATCCAGGAAGGTTCTTCCACCCCAGTACCCTGGCCCAGCTGCCTGTGACCCCTTCCCTGGGGCAGACAGCACGGAGAAGCCCAGGTGGAATGCCAGCTCCGCCCCGGCACACAGGTGATCACTGCTTGGGGGCTGCCCCGTTGTTCCAAGAAGAGGGAAAATTTCACTTCCGCTCAAAGGGCCTATCACTTCCCTCCCCCGCACCCCCCATTAAAAACTTCCCGGCCCCGGGCCAGGGTTTCCAGGCAGAGCTGCGGCACCTCCAGCCAGCCCTACGGTCCCAGATTCTGAGACCGATAAACTCCGCAGGGGAGAAACTTCTGAGGAGTCTGAGGGTCCCGGACCGGCTGCGGATTCAGCGCGGCAGGGACACGCCCCCATCGCTTAACCGGAAAATTCGGCACCTAAAAAAAAAACCCACCGCCTGCTGGCTGGCGATCTCTCCGACGCCAGCCGGAGGAGGGGTCCGGAGTGGCGGTGGGTATTTTTTTTTTTTTCCCCGCCCGCGGGGGAAGGGGCTCTGGGCCCGAGACGCGCCCTACCCGGCGGGCGCCCTCCTTACCGTGCAGGCCGTTGGGGATGCTTCGGTGGTGCGGCGGCGGCGCCGAAAGGTCGTCCAGGGACCGGCGCGTGGCGACCGCCGCCTTGCCGTCGGGGGCCTTGGGCGGCCCGGGAGGCAGCAGCGGCGGCGGGACGTGGTGGTGATGGTCCGGGCTGCCGCCGCTGCCCGCGCTCGACGTGCTGCTGCCGTCGCCCACGTCCCGGGTACCCGCGCCCGCAGCGCCGCCGGGCAGCGGCCCGCTCAGGCTNCCCGCCCCGCGCTGCCTCGCGCGCCCTCACGCAGCGCCTGCCCGCCGCCCGGGGCGCCCGGGGTAATCGGTGCGTCTCGAGACTCGGCGAGCTGGGAACGCTGCTGCGTCGGCGGCCGCGGTGCCGGGCTCTCTCCCGGCTCGGGCTAAGCAGGCGGAGGCCCGCCCCCGGCCCAGCTCCGGAGCCCCAGCCGGCCCGCCTACTCCGGGCGGGGAAGGGGCGGGGCGCACGCGGTCCGGGCCCCGCCCCCGGGGGGAGCGAGCGGGCGGGCGGGCAGAGGCGCGGCAGGTCCCCACGTCTCCCCCGCGCCGTGCGCCCGCCCTCCCGGCGCCCAGCCAGAGGCGCGCTCGAGCCGTGGTCCCACCCCCGCGCCGGTCCGATTGGGTCTTTCCGGGGGTGTGTGGGAGGGGCGGGGCGCACTCGGGGGACGCCGCAGGAGATGGTACAGTCCACCCTCCGGGCTGCCCACCTCCCCCCGCGCCGCGGTTCAAGTTTCTGCGGCCGGAGGACGCGGCCTCCGCCAATCCCAGGGCTACAGGGCGCTTTTAAAATGCAGGTACGGCTGCGGGGAGGGAGGGTGACGGTGGGAAAGGTAGGGCAGGGCTTCCCTTAAAGGAGACGCGTGGAAAAGGGCGCCCAGCCCCTTCCTGGGCCCGCGCGCCCCACCCGCCGCCCCCCGCCCCGAATAAACAAATACCCACGATCGGAAGGACGGCTCCCCTTCTCCCGGCCGAAGGCACCAGAGTCCAGCTTAGTCTGAGATACGGCGGACAATAGGACTCAGGCCCGGGGGGTCGCTCTCCCCGGCGGAGAGCGGCTCTTTGTCCGCTCCCGGCCCCCGGCTCCCCCTCCACCCCGGTCTCCACCGTGGTCCCCAGCCCGGAGCGCGCCGAGGTTGCAGCGTTTTCCACTCAAGCCAGGGGCTGCGGCTCCGGCGTCTGCGCCCCAGGAGGGCCAGGGGGCCTCACCCGCCGTCCCGGATCGGGGTCCCGCACCCTCCCTGCCCCGAGAGGGCGAGGGCTTGAGGAACACGCACCGTTCCCCCGCCAACCCGACCGCTCGTCCCGGAATGCGGGAGGGAATCTGTGACTCGCGACGTGGAGACCACTGGGGAGGGGAGGGGAAGGTCTTTCACTGAGGTCTTAACTCTGGGCGGGGCGCCGATTCCGCAGCAATAAAAATCAAACCCTCCCCACCGACAGCCTCGCCTGGCACCCGGGTCTCCCCCCACTGGCTTGTGCGAATCCATCTCGTTGTCCTCGCGTCCCTGAAGTGCATTTACGGCGAGTCTGCTGCCAGGCGGGCGGAGGGGGGCGTCCCTCCCCCCGGGACCCGCGCCCTCGACCAAGAGCGCCACGGCCGGGCGCGCGCGCCCCTCGGCAGCGGTAGTCCCGGCTTACAGCGACCCAGCCATTCATTGGACAACCGTGTACAGCGCCTCCTCTAAGCCAGGCTTGTTCTGGACCACTAGGGGATTTTCTAGGGGACCGGCGGCCACTGCCCGCTGGGGGGGACTTTGCACTCTGTGGGGAGGAGGGGCGAGAAGAAAATCAACAAACTGGAGAACTGTGAGGCTGTAATAAGTGCTGTGCAGGGGATTAAGACCAGCTGCTGTCGCAGAAAGTGATTATCAATTACTTTAGATCCCGTGGTCAGGGAGGACCTTTGAGGAGGTGTGGTCTAAGCTGCTGTCTGAGTGACGGAAAAGGACAAAGATAAGGGGGAGGGCACTCCAGGTAAAGAGAACAGCTAGTGCAGAGGCCCTAGGGTTGCCCTGTTAGTGGCCTATTCAAGGAAGAGGTGTGAGAGATGAGGTCAGAGAGACCAGATCATCCGTGATTCTAAGGCAGCTGGGAAAGCCGTGGGGGGAATTAGCAGGACACAACATGACCCGATTTGCCTTTTAAGAGCTTCACTCTGATGGCTCAGACAGTAAAGAAGCTGCCTACAGTGTAGGATTCCTGGGTTTGATCCCTGGGTCAGGAAGATCCCCTGGAGAAGGAAATGGCAAACCCACTCCAACATTCTTGCCTGGGAAATCCCACAGACAGCGGAGCCTGTGTGGGCTAGATTCCATAGGGCCGCACAGAGTCAGACAGGACTGATGGACTAACACTTTCTTTTCTTTTTCTGGCCCATATGTGGAGAAGGGGTGGGGGTGTGGGGTCGCAGGGCAGTACAGATTCGCCACTCCCTCCCCCCCCCCCCCCCCATATAGATAGATGTTTAGGAAAGGGTAGTGAGGAAAGGATGAGCTGGGCAGGGGGTGGGGGGAGCATAGCTTGAGGGTCAAACCCCAGGGTAGCCAAGGGTCCCCCAGGCAGGTGAACCAGTCCCTGGGTCCTGCGGCTGGGGGGAGGGGGGGGGCGGGGTAGGGTAGGTGTCACCCTCCCCACTGGGGCACTGTGCTTCGAGGACCCAGCCCAGGGCATCTAAGTTTGAGTTTGAGGAGAAGAGTTCCAGCTCTCACTTGAGAAGGCTAAAGTCTTTCTTACCCCCAAAGGCCAACCGGAACTAATAGCTCCCTGGAGGCTGTCCCCAGAACAAAGGCCGGTCAGAGACGCTCCTGGGAGAGTGAAGGGTGAGCACCAGGGAAGTCACTGAGATGTTAGCACTGTTTGTGGGGACCCCCTCCCCCCAATTTGAGTGTGGCTCCAGGTTGTTCCCATAGCATCTAGTCCTCTGATCCTCCAGGGCTGGCAGCTTCAGCTGAACTTTCCAAGAGAAAAATGAAGCCTCCATCTAGAGGGGGTTTACTTGCATCATCTACAGGGTGTGGGACCTAGAGTCCCCCTTGCCAAAACTCACGAGAGCGTCCCTCATGTCCCTCTGGTGCAGCAAAGACAAGGGGCTAGAGATGAGGCTACTGGGTAGGAAGTCTCAGGGACAATCTTTGCTCTCCCCACTGTGGCTGGACAGGCCGAGGCACAACAAGACCGACTGCAGGAGGGTGAGAGGGTCCAGACCTGAAACAGGCTCCTGAAGCACGGGGCACCATCCAAGCCAGAACCCCCTCCCTAAGGGTCCAGCAAGCGCCAAGCCCCCCTGGAACACTCGCGGTCCAACAGACCCTAGACCCAAGCCAGGGTCCCAAAAATGTCAAGTGTCTTTGGCTTTTTTTAGCTATGTGATTGTAACAAGCTCTGCTTTGTCATGAAACCTGTAAAACTGAACCATGGATCTCCAATACAGTAACTCTTACAGCCCCATGTACTATAGCCTGCCAGGCTCCTTTGTCCATGGGCTTTTCCAGGCAAGAATACTTGGCGCGAGTTTCCATCTCCTCCTCCAGGGGACCTTCCCGACCCAGGGCTCGAACTCAGGTCTCCTGCATTGCAGGCAGTCTCCTGCATTGCAGGTGCGTCCTTTACCGACTGAACCACCAGGGAAGACCCTAATAATTCTCTAGATGGCCAGTACAAGTAGCTGTGGGTCTTGGAAAAAAATAAAGATGCACCACCACCGCTCCTCAATTTTTTTTTTTCTTCTGAATCTCCAAGGCTGTGTGTGTCCATTTAAAGCCACACAAATGTTTTTGAGAGCCAGCTAGGGGGACAGCCAGTACACTAATATATAGTAGACAAAATGATTCCTGATCACAGGGTCTGTGAACCTGAAAAATGGTAACAGCACACTAGGGGTAAGTAAATTGTCTCCACAATGGGAGGGAAAGAGGGTTCTTATGCCTCTGTGGCTGGGCCCTGAGCATAGACCTCCCATCAGCCACTCTGCTGTTTGCTGAGTAAATGCATGATCAATCAAGTCTGAGTCCCACGTTTTGATGATGAAGATATGGAGCCCCAGCAGGGAAATGACTTGCCTAAGGTCACTTTCATTCATTGATTTCTGAAACACACAAGCATAATTGGTTCAGTGTTTATGCATAAATGCATATGTATATGTACAATCAGATATGCATTGGAAATGCAGTGTGGTAAGCACCACAGAAGAGAGGAGCAGAACACATCATTGTGGGAGCATCCTGAGGCCATGGAGGAGATGACACCCACCCCCCTGTCACCCCCACCTTCCACCCCCACCACCACCCAAAGGGAATTAAAGAGTAAGAGTTTATCAGATTGTAGATGGGGAAGGAGAGGGTTGAGATAATCCAGGTGGAGGCAACAACAAAGCCAAGGCCCAGAGGTGAGCAATGGTGAGGGCCAGGTGTGGACACAGCCATGCCTTATTGCCTGAAGAAGCAGAGAACAGCAGGGAATAGTTCCAGGGGAAGTGCGGCCCCCTTCCTGGTGCTCTGATGGCTAAGAACAGCAGCAGCAGCAATAATAATAACCATCACCTCCTACCATGCACCCAGTGGGTGCCAGGGGTCCTAAACCAGCCCCCACGTGATGATCAGAATGACAACGTCATTAACCCCTTGGAGGAGTTAACATGAATTCCTATTGGTTGTGGGTTTTGTCTCCACAAAGCTCAGATCACTGAGTGCAAACTCATGGGCAGTGTTCAGAGGCTGGTGGATGTCCAAGGCCTCTGGTGTGGCCAGTGGAGGTTTGTGTGGTGGCTGAGGATTTCTGCAGGTCAGCGAGGCGATGGCAGCTGACAGGTCCAGGACCAGGCTCTGGGGTTTCTTCTCTGCACCCCACCCTGCACCCCTGAACGGGGGAAGTCACCATGCACAGCTGAGAGGCCACAGTGAAATCAGGGCCCATGGAAAAGCAACTGGAATTGTTATGAATAAAGGGCAGTGTTTGCGGAGCACTTGCTACATATCTACCCAGCCCTGGGCAAAGGATTCACAGGGATTGTCTCACTGAGTCCTCAATGCAGTCCTCGGTTAAGAGCCTCAATCCCCGTTTTACAGAGAAGCAAACCAAGGCTCACAGGCTAGGTCACTTGTCCCAGGTCACAAGGCAAGCAAGTGAATGAGCTGAGATTCTAACCCACAGCCTTCTGAGCCCACAGCCTGCAGCCTCCTGCACGCCGGCTGCTCTGCAACATCCTTTTCACTGTGACTCTGGTTCTACCATGGGGAGGCCTG